CATTTGAACACAAGTCAATTTGCAATTTCATTAGAGTACAGAAAAGGCCTGGGGTCTATTCCTGGTAAAAAGGAAAAAATCTCTGGCAAAATTTCATAAAGGATGTTAATCCTCTAATTAATTTTATGTATCAAGCAAGAATTAATGTGTCCTGCTATTTAAGCAGAAGTCATCTTGCCAAGAAGTGCATTTTGTCATACCTTCCCCTCCAGGAAAACCTCTTTACAAGCTTTGTGGCAAAACACCCTGGCAACTAATGACTAGCTTTGAAGCAACATTCACAGACCATTTGCTTTGATGACATTTGGAGCTTTTTTTCTCCCCCCTTCTCCTCATTCCGAAGTCTATTGTAAGTGTAGTGCTCTCACTGCACTGCCTTTGAAAACTAATCAATAAAGCAAGATTTGTCAGGTTGCATCTGAGGAGTATCACATCTTTTAACTCCTTTCTTGGTTGAGCTGCTGTACACATTTTTAAACTAAACCTCATGAACAGATTTGAGTACATTATACTTACCATATTCACAGACACACAAGTGTGACGCCTTCCTTGTTCTCCCTTACATTAACTTCAAAAGCTCAAAACCTGTGCCAGTTAACCTTCCATAAAACTGACATTATATGGCCATCAGACATAATCGAATGATGGATTGCATGTCAAAAAGTCACAAATAGCAAATGTTTACCCTTGTTACAAGTATAAGAACTACGGTATTGCAAAACCAGAAAATAGCAACTTCACCCCATGCCAAAGAACTCCAAAGAAAACACATCCATGTTGGTAAATAGTGAAACAAATTTTGAATAGCTCCCTAGCATCAGTAGGAGCATTAGAGTGAGGTGATCTGTACTCACAGCAAAGGATGGGGGTCGGAATACAGGCCACAGAGTTTCATCTTTATTGTAACTTTTGACTTTCCTTAATCAATGCTAAAATCTTTAGGTCTGATTTCTCATTTCAATGTCTTTGTGTAATGTGTCTCAACCGTACCTCATCTAATTTAATAAGATGCAAGCTAAGGAAGTACTTAAGTTACTTATCAAGGGTTTCAGATGACACATTATTATTGTACTCAAAAGTCAATATTTGCTAATCATGTTAGTACAGGAACTGATCCAGGGTTACAATTCTTGAATTGCAAAGGCATTTAAGATTAATTAAACCTATCTCCTCCTTACTCAACACATACACACATAGCACCCCTCTCCACCCCTCTTCTGGAATGGATGAGTTGATGTCTCCATAATAAAAACCTGTCTAGTCTGCAGCTTTAGGATGAAAAACTATTGTTTCTCAGCTTTCTTTCTCCAACACTGGTGCAGTCACTCAGAGCCTGACTTCAGGCAGTTGGGTAGCTCATGTTCAGCATGTTGGGATTGTGCCCTTTGTCTTTGACACAGCTATGATATCAAACCAATCAAGTGTATTCTACCTGTGATGTGTGCACAAGACTGCAGTTGAAATCAGGGGAGAGCTACATGCTGAGCAAAAGCAGAGCCAATCTGGGCAGTGCGATGCAGGTTGAGAAAGCCTGATTGCTCATTTCATTTCAGCTGGGATTGCTCATCTAATAGGCTCACATTTAAAGGTACTGAGGTGTTGAGCAATCCTTATTCCACACAGTGGCAGAAGAGCAGTGAGTTTACACTGTGCTACTCATTCTGATTTTTCTTTTATCATACGTAATGGGAACAGTTAAAAAATGATCTATGTCTTTCTTTCTCTCTTAAAGCTGTTGATGAATTTGGCATGTATAACGTGAAAAGATTTAGTGCATTTCCTAGGGCTAAGTACAGTGGGAGCAGGTGATGTGCAAGCTTCCACATGCAGAGCTGCCAGTGCTCTTTCAGGATGGATTTGCAATCCTCCTGCTATATACCAGCCTTGGTCTCCTCTGAGCACACCATCAGCTGCTCAGAGATGATGGCTGCATCTGTACATGCGCATTTCATAAGCAATGTGGTGACTTCCTGATATGATCATATATTTATTCAGAACCTGGCTTAGAATGAGATACAGATTTGCCTTGAAGCGGCAATCTCTTAGGGGTTGAAACGTGGCTTACCTGCTACCCAGCATTTATTATTGTAGTCTATATGTGATTGTGGTTTTCCCTTACTCCTTTAAGCCATTATTATATTGGTCTAAACAGTGTAGATTAAATGTTTGTATGAAAATAATAGAACAGAGTGGAGAATTGGAAACGGTCACATTAGGATTCTGATCTACATAAAACTCGGGCAGAACACAACAGTGAGGCAATCTGCACTGGATTAGCCCAGATTTACACTCATTAATGGGATCATAGTATTGGAAACCACAGATGTGATTCACCATAGAGACACTTGTAAAACTGGTGTATTGCAAGGGCTTATAAAGTGGGAGGTGTTCACTGTTATCTGGAGATTGAATTGATATCGTGTATTAAATCATACAGTGACTGCATGGGTTTTGATCTAGGCATGTAGATCATCAACATGCAAATTAAGAAAAAAAGGTAACTGTTTTGGGTACTGTGGTACCCAGTCTGCTTACATCCTAGATCAACCCAGTGTTAGGTAAAATACTCAAAATTAAACATTCTGTTTAATATTCCAGTGACTGTTGAACTATTAATCTAAATGTGCTAACAGTGGCAGTCGCATAAGTTTGCCGCCTGAAAGCCTCCAAACAGTAATCTGCTATCCTCAGGTAGTATATTTTGTACTCATTCAATTTAAAATATGAGACAATTTACCCTTTAAAGTTCCTTCCCCCCTTCCCCCCCCCCCCTTTTTATTTTGTTTTTAATTAAGCATTATTTTATGCATGTCTTAACATGCTAATTGATTCATTTAGACCTGCCACACACCGGCTGAATTACTAATCCCATTTATTTATTTATTTTTCTTTAAATCAATAATGATGCCATGTTTAGCATGCTATGGAAGTATTCAAATTCCCAGCTATTTCTCTCTGTGTGTATCTATTTGCCTCAGTTGATTGTTAGGACAAGGAATGTCACACTTACCTTTACTGGTCTATGCAAACTCAATTTGATAATCTTAGATCATCTCCCAGTGGAGCATGTATCCGTGTCACAAATGTCACCTTTGAAACTGGCACTAATTGGCATTCATGTTGGAAGTCTCAGTGGAATGGCCATAGACACAAGGTGAAATTTTGGCTCTGTTGAAGGCAACAGGAGTTTTGTCATTGACTTTAATAGGGTCAGGACTTCTTCCAGAGACTGAACTGCCTCTCATACAGATGTTCATACTGGACTGGGAGCTTCAAACCCTCTGTGTTTGCTCATGACTAATAAAATGGTGTTTTTCTGCTAACCTTCGTCCTTCTCCTGCCAGGATCTAGTTTTCTTTGTAAAGGACAGAGTGAATGAGCCCAGATAAGATCCCAGCTTCCTCTTGTATTGTCCTCCCCAAATCTTAGCTCCCTTCTTTTTATACTCGATCATGTCTTTCAAGTGCAAGTTCTCTGTCTTCTGTTATCTCTCCATTCTTCTGTGCTTATGTATTTTCAGCCACTCTGTTTTCTAGACCCTCTGCCTTCAAGCATGCTCTTGCTCTTGAAAGAATGAAATTCCTTTAATTCAGTCTCCCTTTGAAAAAAACCCACTGGTTTCTTCATGTCTCTTGTCTCCACATTCTCAGAAGCTGCTGTTCATCCCCAGTTCTAAGTAGCTTCTGTAGCTGTAGCTTCTCTGACTTCTAATAGGCTTCTCCAGTTCCTGTACATGGCTTGATCTGAGGACAATCTTTGTCATTCTCTTCCCTGACCAAGATCCCTCTCAAGACTTTGGTTCTGTAATTCTCTCTTTTTCTCAATCCCAATTTGCTTGGAGGTGCACCCTCCCTGACATTGCCTGTATTTTTTGTGCCTTCCTTTGCTACTTGGTCTCCCCATTGCCTCACAGAGGTAGCCGTGAGAGAATGCACTTGCCCTTCTCTGCCAGTCACTCGCCTTCTCTGCCAGTGATGCTTTTGCCTGGAGTTTCATAACCATCTGCTTCTGCACATCCAGCTGTCACTTCAGTATGGCTTGACTTCTTAAGGTTAGGTATTTACCACTTCTTACTGGTTTTCTGATCCTATTTTCCTCCGTGAGTTCTGTTACAGTTGCTGTCTCCTGGGCCATCTTTTCTCCCATTTTGCTGCCCCTTTCTCCTGCTTGTCTTCCTAACATGGTGGCTATCATGATTTCTTTTATCAACGCAAAATGTTATGGTCATCTCTGTTCTTGAAGGATGATGTCTGCAAGAGCTCCTCACTTCCTCCCTTCCATCTAAAACGCTGTTTGCCAGTGCCACCTTGTCTCCACCAGTCAGCAGCTTCCTAGATTTTTGACTGCCTGCTGTAAGAAATTCAAGCTATTAAAAACCCTGTGAAATCTATTACTTGAAGTTCTGCTGCCATTTATCTTCACTCAATTTAGCCAGCTGCTTTTCCCATTCTTCTTTCTTATAGGTTTCTTCTGTCTCTTTTTCCTCTCTTTGCACTTTTTGCTGTGCTGCTTCATAGACAAGGAAGCATTTTTTGTCACCCATGAGCAATATTTTCTTTTGCTTCCTGAAGTCTTCCATTAAAACTCATCTCTGAACTGTCCCTTTCTTTCTCTCAGTCACACAGGGGTTTTAATGCACTAGGCAACAAAAACTGTGATGTTGGCCAGAGGCCCATTAATGTAATCTTTTCTCTCATGCCCAGTCACAGCCCTGGTGAAGTCAGTTAAGGTCCATCATGTTACCTGGAGCCTGTGGCAACAGTAGAGTGGTGATAGGTACTTGTGTTTGTAGTGCATGGATGGTGCTCATCCTGCCACAATACATTGTCCTTACGAATAATCGCTATACTGAGCAATGGAACGATTGCACTTGGGGGGGAAACTTAAGAAAACAATGAATACCTTGAAGCCTGGAGCAAAGCTGAAAGCAGGAGTTGCAAGTTCTGCTGGCTGCTGTTTTGAAAGATTCGCATTAAAAGTCAGGTGGGGAGTTCTTGGTACACACAACTGCAAGTTTTACTGGTTGAGTTGTTACGGCTGAGGCTGTGTAGGAGTTAGAACAAGGTTATCTCAGTGAGTTTAATAGAGCAGGGTGAATTTTTTGCATAGGTTTGTATTTTACCCTGCAGAGTTCCCTCAGCCAACCTAAAAGGAGTGCTGGAGGAGTGTGGTGACTAAACTCCCTGGACAGAAATAACAAAATACTTCTGTGTGTGGACCATTAAGCAAGACTATTAGAAATATTCCCTCTGATACTGGGAGAGTATATAATGCTACACAGTGCTACAAAAATGTTTCATTCTTTGGTATCATGATATGGGGGCTGTGCAAGCCTTGACTCGAGTTAAAGCCTTGACTCATCCTGGAGAGGAGGGAGTCGTTTTCCAGCTCATACAGGGCTTCCCTTCGACTTCAGGTCAGACCAGATATATCCTGTGTTCTGTGACTGACTCTCTTTTTGTGTCAGGACAAAGTCTAGAGCTGAAGGTTTTAAGTGGTGAGAGCTACAGAGAAACGAATGAAAAGCTCCAGATTTAGATCTTCAGCCTCCTTTCATGTATCCACTACCACAAACTTCACGGTGTCCAAAACACTCCCACTACAGGAAACCACATCATGTTAAATGGTTGCGGTCACTGCATATCCCCCTGTTGCACCTTTCTTGTCCTGTAACCCATTCACTGTGCAGATTCATTTTAGTTGATGTAGGAAGGGCTTTCCTCTGGAAAACTTGCAGTTCTGATTTCTTCGACCTTTGACTCTGTTCAAGGCTTCTCTGCAGTCCAGGAAATCTGAAGGTGACCACTGTCGCTCCACTGTGGCTCTGTGGCACAAAGTCTTTTGTCTTCTCCTTTCTCACAGCTGTCTGTGTGCTGACAACTGGCCCAGCTAGAGGTCACTTGATAGCCAGGCCCTAGTCCTGCCCCTCTCCATCACAACATTGGTTTGGGTACATCTGCATGATTATGTTTGGGTGCAAGTTAATTACTGAAAATTCCTGGCCTCTGAGGCGATTGGGACTAATTAAGCCTCATGCTCCCTTCAGCATAGCAGTGGATGCCATATAGTACTGCATTCATCTAAGAGCAATGAAAACCTGTGTGGATTGCCCAGTGCAATTTCAGCTGCAGGTAAATTTTTCCAGACACATTTAGAATATACCTTAGAAAGGAACTTTAAAAGGCATCTCTGTTACCCAGTGGACCATTGCAAATACCGACCTTGACCAATAAAAGGCAAAGCACACCTGTGGGGCTGGAGTGAGAAATCACAAGTTTCCCATGGAGCTCAAAATAAAGTCTGGGTGTTCCTGTGTGCAAGGACATTTTATGTATTGGAGGTCGACTTTCTGCACATTCAGAGGAACAAATCCTCCAGTTGTGTAAAGTGTCCCCAGCTCCACAGAGGAACTATGACAATTTACACCAGCTGAGGTGCTGCTCAGCATTTTTGGTTATGGGCCTTACTTACTTATGGCTAGTTAGAGTTCCTGTGGAGCTGTTAGGGCACGGTGTGGATGTAAATCTTACTTTAGATGCCTTTGGAGCAGTTAGAAGATAGCATGACGGTCTATAAAGTAGAAACATCCTTGACCCTGTGCCTGGCATAACCTTATAAAAGAATGCTGCCATAGCAATCTGCCATATAGCTATTTTTACCTAAATGAAGATCTACAAATAACATCCACTACAATGTCACTACACCAGATAATTAAGTAGTGAAGAAGATCCCTTTGTGTTTCGATGTAGCCCATTTCATTTGTGTCTGCATCTTTAAGCAGTTATGTCCCAGAATAAACCTCATCTACCCAAAAGCATTCTGCTAACTTATATATTTCTTCTAGAAATTGTTTAGTCGGGGATTGATGTTAGCCACTCTTTTATTGAAATAGGTTTGTTAAGCAGCAAACAGCAGCCTTACGTAAGCAAGGACTAAGGTACTGTCACAGAGCAACAGTTCTTAACTCACTGCAGTAAAGTAAGGTCAGTGTAAATAAGAATTCAGTTGTATGGCTAGACTGTTGAACACGGATTGTTTCTGTGTATTCAGTGCGGTAACTCACATCTCCCTGTGGTGGGATGCAGCTGCAAAGGTGGTGTGTCATTTTCATGGCAAGGCCCTAAAATACAGACATTTGAGAACACCTCCCGCTCTCCACAACACCATGAGTGATGCCAGGCAAAAGGCACAGTAAGGGTGAACAAGGAAACCATTACTGGCCTTTGTGTAAACCTCCTAGAGATCAGCATGTGCAAAGCCAGCAGGAAGCAGTAGGAAGGAGCAGCTTGGTCTCCGGAGTCCTTGTCTGTGTTCCACTCCTTAGGGAGGCTGTTTCTGTGAAGCACAGTACAACATTTCAGTATATTTTCAAGGTGTGATATGTGAATTGCAAGGGATACAAAACTGTCCTACAAAAAAGACGCATTTCTTGGTAGCACTAAGGGGAAAATGTAGGCCCCCATGAAAAAATATTTCCTTAGCACTTTTTAGGTTTAAAGACATTAAATTACAGTACAACTTCCCAAGAGTGTTCTTGCAAGTCATTTATACCATAACACATAAAATTATAGTAAGCCTCCATTAGTCCTGTGGCTACTTTTGTAATCAGTTTTGAAGAATGTGCTCCATCAGTGGAAATATTTTGATTTAAGTTCATAGTGAGGAGCAGTCTAAAAGTTACTCTAAATTACACTTTAGAATAAGTCCCATGGTACATCCTTAAAATATATATGGTATGCTGACTCCATGTAATTAAATTCTTGTCTCAAGTTGTCATTAAGTTGCAGTAAATATTGGAGCTAGCTTCATTTAAAAATAGATTTACTTCTTGATTTTAGCTGATGAATGTTCTTGTATAGAAAATTAATTAAAATATTCATACACATATATAACAGGGCAGGTCCAATGGTTTCAGCAGTTACAAGCAAGCAGACCGGCAGTGGCTTCTATCAGCATTAAGGTAGCTGACCGACCATGACATGAAGAAAAGCACACGGTTCCACACAAGACTCAGCAAGGAATAAAAGTCGTAGGCCCTCTCCCATCTTCTCATTCCTAGGTCAGAAATAACATCAAATTACTTATTAGTTAATCAACCGACTGACTTCCTGTGAATAACAAAAATCAGGCAGGTTTGGAGGGTAGAACTAATCTTTTCTTGTACATGCTCAAGCCATTATGGGAACAACACCACCAATAAAGGGAAAGGATGGGCAAATTTCACTGTGTATACGGGGGGAGAGAAAGGTCAGTTCTTCGGAGAGTCTAAAAAGAATGGCATTTTTCAGGAGCTTGATGAAACTGGGTGAGATAATGGAAGAGAAAGTCCCCAGAAAATCCCTGTATCTGCAGAAAAGCTCAGGTGTTCATTTGTTCTTATTAGTCCCTAGAGAATCCACATTGGGTTCTCATTCTATGGGACTCAACCTCAAACGCTTCAGTTGGAGCTTGCATCTTTCAGAAAGTCCATTAGTTAATCTGTAGGAAATCAGGCTTGATGACTTTCAGTGCTCACAAGAACACTTGTGTTCTTTCTGGAACACAGGCAGGCAAATTGCTGAGATGACAAAGACATCCGATATGTCTTCCAAGAATGTCTCTCACCCTTTCACGAATGTTTAAATCTCTCCATTTCCCCAATGCATGCTTATTTGACATTTTTATAACTAGCAGGTGTTTTATGTAATTTTGTTGGTACCTCAGACTTACTCAAGAAGATGAAAAAGGGTCTCTCTTTATCTGGTCTACACCAATTGACATTATCTCAAACCATCTTCAAATTTCTTTCCATTCACCTCCATAACTCTTCCTACAGGCTGTCCTCCAACTTGTCTTCATATCTCTATAGTTATCTATTAGAAAGCTGTCACTTGGCCAGACTCTTTTTAATGTGTTCTGTTGTCAAGATTTGACACTTCAGTGAAGTGTATTCAGACTCTTTTGATCTCTAGAAATTTTTTATCGGTGATGTGGAGCCTTTCAGAAATTTCACATGCACAGATTGCTGTACAGCATATATGAACTTGCTGTTCTCACTTGCCCTGCACATATCTGTTAGTAGCAGTCCAAGTATCCCCCCCCATACCGTCCAGAGATTATAGATTGCACAGCTTTAACACATCAAACTTGGGATCCTGAAATGTCAGTAGTGGATGACTTACACTGTAGAAGATATCAGAGTAAAAGATCTAACTAAAAGTAAATGTAAATTTGAAACTTAGCAGATAGCTTGAGTCTCCCATCAAAGAGTAGGAGTCTGGTTGTTGTGGAAGCCTTAACAGGACATGATTCCTAGTTAGGTCTACAGAGAACACTTAACGACCACATCAGACATTGAGGGATTGCAGTTACCAAGAGATGGAGAGAAAAAAAGCACCAAGGAGTTTCCAAAAAGCCCATATGAGATTTGGATGGCTGTATTGTGTGAAGGGCCTAGGTCAGCCTTTGTGACCTGGGAGAAAATTGTAGAGAAATTGAGTCTGTGATACCTTGCCCCCAGCCCATAAACAAGCATAGCTTTCTTTTCCTTTCTTAGTATTGGTTGGAAACCTGGCATTAAAAACAAATGGAAAAGCTTCTGGGTTCCTCTGATGTTGTATGTTGGAAATTGAGGGCTTTGTTGGCTTGACTGCCACTTCTGATGAGTGGCTTACATTGAAATCACACAAGTCAGTATGGTGAAAATTGAGCAAGTGATACAGAAAACATAGTCCTTCTGTAAAATTTGGTTTCATTTATTCATCACTAGCACCTATTTAAGTTCAATAACAAAATAGTTATTTGGATTAATGTCATCTTCATTTACAGCATTAGAGTTTACAGAAACATCTGGCCTTACCCATGTACAATGCATCCTATAAGAAGTAACAAGGAATACAGGAATTCAGATTTGTTGTATTTCCAAGCATATATGTTGGTTGGTTGTTTTCTGTAGAATATGAAAGGTAATTAAAGAAAGAAACAAACAACCCCAAACCCCCCCAACCAACCAACCTCCTTTCCAAGTCATTATTGCTGAAGGCAGTATTATCACTTCACCTACTCGAATGTTTCCAAACTGCTACAGAAGCCTCAGAGAACACATTTTTCTTCCTTTCTTTATGTCAGGTGTTTTTGTTTGTCATTTAGGTTGAGCTTTCTGCAGATCTCTTAAAAGCCGTAGGTTCAGCTAAGTATCCAATGGGATATTTAAAAACAACTATTCATCACTGTGAATCACCAGTGTGATTCCCCAATGGTAACTTCCCCAGGAGCTTAAATAGCCTCCTTAGACACTTGGCCCTACAGCCATGATTCTGCAAAACATGCCCAACATATGCTCAGCTTTAGGCATGTAAGAAATCCCACCCTGCTCAGCTCCCTCGAAAAAATCATACCCAAGACCCAAACTGCTGTGCTCAGAATATAGTATTTTATTTGGACATCTGTTCACGGAGAGCATGGCAGCGAGTGCAAAGCTTCACTCCAATGTCTACATGGGTCCTCATTTTCCAGGGTTAAAACCTGAATCAAGTTTTTCCTTTAGCAAGGACAAGCTGCAAAGAGCAGACAGCCTCATTAAAAAGGAAATCTATAAATCCTGTAGTCCTCTCCTCGCCTCTGTTAACTACAGTGTTCGAGGTGAAAGCTGTTAACTGCAGCTTTTAAAAGGTATGCATAAATGCAACCTTTTCCTCAAAAACTTTGAAAATGTGCATAAACAATAACAATTTATGATAAATGCAGTGCTGTTTTACTAGATTTATGTGCTAAAAACAACAACTACTTACAATAATGAAATGCATGGGCTTGATTTTTCTTTTGCCTGAGTCACCCCATTACCTCCAGTGCTTTAAGGGAATTGCTGCAAAGTAGAATCGGGCCCTTAATGGTTTGCCAGCTACCACACTGACATTACACTCAGACAATAGTCAGAAATTTATATTTAGGTCCACAAGAACAGTACATTCGATATCCTTAAGTGTTTTATGAGGCAGGACTTTTCTGACTGCTCTGGCAAAACCACCAGTACGCATAGTAACTGGAGCTTTGAACAAATATTGCAGTTATGATTTACAGCACAATTGCCAGAGTCTCCCTGGCTTCATCTCTGATGGCTACTTACTCAGGCTGTCATTTTTAGCTCCACAGATTCTATCTGCCTTGGCCTCTTCCACAAACACTGGATTCACTGGAGTGTGTTGCAGACAATACAGCTCTCAAACAATGAAGCATTTGTGTTCATTTTCTTCTATTTTATCTTTGGAATTCTACTATTTAGGTCACTATCTGTTGCTTCCAGCTATTCTTTCCTGACAAATTGTAGCTCTTTTTAGGCTTAAAAAGATATAATCAATGAATTCATCTATGTTATTCCTCTGGGTATAAAGGTCTAGATGTAATAAGTGGTACACATAGTATAAGAAAGATTACATTGCTATTCCTGAATTGCAGCCCAAAGATTAATTGTGCCTTTATAAGCCAAAATTTGAAAAGCTGCTGGATGCTGGCCTCTGAAAATCTGGTACAACACAATAAAACCCCAATATTACTAGATTTCTCAAATGCTTTATATGGGATCTCTCACCAGCATGACCTGGAAGGTTGTGAATGTATGTATGTATATTCCACAGCACATAATTTTAGATGCAGATAAGGAAAATAATGATGAACAATCCTTTATCTGATCATATCTTAGTATCTGGTTTTCCTAAAAGAAAGAAAATAATTCACCACATTTTTTACTAGAAAAAGATAATCCTTGGATTTTAGCAAGTAACATCACTCATCATGAAATGCATCAATATCCATGGGATAAAAATTATACTTCGGTAGGGGGACATACTGGAATTCCATTCATATTTAAGCTCACTGCTCTGCTCATGTAAAAAATTACTATGCTCTGAATGAAAATGAGTGCTTAAGCAAACAGTCATAAATTAAGTTATAATGAAACATGACAGTCATAATTTAATTTAGAATGTGTTTAAGATTGTTGTTACTATTCGTATAGGTCTGTTCTGCCTGGAGGAAGATGTGGCTTCATAGTGAAATGTCAGCTATCGAAATACCAAACTTCTTATGCATACATGTGTTTTAATTAATTGAAATAATGTAGCTACTTTCCTAATGGAGATCTGTTGTCTGTGGCAAGCAGTCAGACAAAAGGCTGCATGACTGAGGAACATGCAGTATCAGTGGGGCACCAAGGACTTACCAGGAACCATGAGGGACACATCTGTGGGGTCATGAGGCTGCCGCTCAGCTTCCTTCCACAGTGGTGAGCACAGGGGACGTAATGAGAGCAAGGAGCAGGTGCTTTTGTACTTCTCATCTGTTCTCAAAAGCTGTTGGCTGCCCAGGTACAGCAGAGTGGCTGTCTAGGCCCAGTACCAAGTCCTTGAAATACCTGTTAGGCAGATGGCTGCCTTTGCTGATGTAAAGCTGAGCACATCTGAAATGTAGCTGAGGCACCTATCATCTGAATTGTCCTCTCCCCATCACCGACGGCCATAAGAGCACCTGAAATCGCTCTATGTCTAACCTGTGCCTCTCAGGTTAGCAGGCACCAAGCTATTTCTACCTACACCACTGCTGCATTGCTGGCTTTAATATCCAGATGTTCAAGAATTAGGCAGAGGTTAAACTCCTCATGTTTGCAACCCTGTCAACAGCAGTATGCTGCCCTGTCTGCTGGGCTGGGTCCATGTCCAGCACCCTGCCGATGCCAGCATAGTAGGAAGAGGTGAAGTGCAAGACTGGCAGTTACAGCATGGGCACTCAAACAAGTTCTGTGGCATGTACTCTTTTAAGACATATACGTAAAACAAACGTTTGTTTTTCACTAGATTTCTACTAAATCTTTTGATGTTTCTGGCCAATTACTATGAATACGTATCTTTCTAAAGACAAAAAATCCTACGTCATGGAATTTTATTTTGATATTATACAGGTTCTTCTTTGTAACTATTTCTAAGCACTAATGAATCTTCTGCCTGCACTGACTCTGACAATGAAACTGTATGGGTTAAAGTATTTCTCCAAGCTTTTCACTTTTATCAGATTTGCCTAATAAAATGGCATAGGAGTGGTTTAATTTAAATGCATTAGATTATTTCTCTGTTTTGAAAAGCATTGAGTCACAGAAAGAAGTAACTCTATTCAGTCTGTTAACTGAGAGATGGTATGATAGAACATTTGGGGATGGTCAGTGTTGACCAAAAAAATCTTAGTTGTTTGTCTTGACATCAGTTATGAAACCATGATCCCAAGAATTTGGGATTTTTATTTGGAAGGTAACATTTAAGAAAAAAAAATCAATTACAGGTCTTGAAGCATAATATCTGTGCTAAAAATAGGTATTATGAAAAGTAAAAAATAAAGCCCTTTTGTTACAATCAGTTTAACGGTAGAGGGCAAAGCATGCATTTGCTGTACACTGTCAGTGTGTTTCACACTGATTAGCAAACAGGTTCTTTAAATATGGTTAAGCAGCATGTCGGAAGTACTTGGCTCTATAAGTAAACAAGTGACAGTAATTGGGCAGAAAGTAATTTGTGTCTTCCTCCAACTGGGAAGTTTGCGAAGGGTCCTTTCCACACCTCTCATGGCAACAGAATTCTCCTTGTCATATATTAAAATCTTCTTTTAAAGTCAGGATATAAGGATGGTTAGAGGCTTGTATTAAAAGATGAGCCAGTATATTCTTACCCTGCTTTCACAGGGAGACCAGTGGTAGTAGCATTTTAGTTGAGAAGCTCCAAAGCTCCAAGGCCTTTCTATCCTGGCTGCTGAGAAAATCAGCATCACCTGGAAAAGCAGTAAGCTGGTTTTAAACTTTGTGTGTGATAAGGACACATAGCAGCAAGCAGTCAGGCTCTATCACTTTGCATGCTGAGCTTTGGTAGCCATAACATGCTTAGCCTCTATTTCATGTTAGGTATCTATTTATCCCAATTTCAAACCTGATTAAAAGTTAGTCCTTTAGTATCAGAGAATGAAACCTTCCTAAAAAAAAATACTCTCCAGCACCCACAACAGGTCCCTCCTTTCCAGTTAGCTCATCTTCTCAAATCAGGAGTATAATTAACCATGTTATCCTTGAAAACAAAAATTATCCTGGTTCCTTTACAAATTATTTCTAGAGAAAAACCCTAGGGAGGGAAGGGATGATAAGCTAAACACTATCCTAGCAAAAGCCTAATTTTTATCTTTCTGAATAAGACTTGACATTCTTATGTATCAGTACCTTAAAAGCCAGCTTTATAACTCTCATGTTTCATACTGATAGTAGAAGCCTTTTTTTTCATTGCCACTTTCTTGGCTAATACTGCATCTGGCAAGTTACAGTTTTGATTTTCCTTGAACCCCACAAATACAAGCAGATCCCTCAGGTACACAGATCAAACTACATTCAGGATAACATTTTTACAACAACCACACATTTATTTGTCACATGGACGTGCAAATCTTCTGGTTTATAAACTACCTGAACACTGCCACCAGAGGCTTGACAACACAACATGGAGTCTTGCTATTTCATGTTATATTATCTTCAAAGGAAGTGTGACCAGCAGGCTGAAGGAGGTGATTCTGCCCCCCTACTCTGCTCTTGGTGAGACCCCACTTGGAGTACTGTGAACTGTTCTGGTGTCCTCAACATAAAAAGGACATGGAACTGTTGGAACAAGTCCAGAGGAGGGCCACGAGGATGATCAGGGGACTGGAGCACTTCCTGTATGAAGATAGGCTGAGAAAGTTGGGGCTGTTCAGCCCGGAGAAGGCTGCATGGAGACCTCATAGCAGCCTTCCAGTATCTGAAGGGAGCCTACAAGGATGCTAAAGAGGGACTCTTCTGGACAAGGGGTAATGGGTTTAAACTTAAAACAGGGGAAGTTCAGGTTGGATATGAGGAAGAAATTCTTCACTATGAGGGTAAACTCAGGTTGCCCAGAGAAGATGTGGCTGCCCCATCCCTGGCAGTGTTTAAGGCCAGGCTGGGAGCCTTGAGCAACCTGGTCTAGTGGAAGGTGTCCCTGCCCATGGCAGGGGGATGGAACTGGGTGATCTTAAGGTCCTTTCCAACCCAAATCATTCTACGATTCTATAATGAAGTGCTTTGAAAAGCTGAAAACATTTTTTGGGGGTTAATTTTCAGTCAGATCAATAAGCTAATTCAACTCATTGTGCATTGCACGGCTGAAGGACAGGGAGCTGCAGTAACAGACTGTAAGTAATGTCTATTGGCCACCAGCATGCTTTTCAGTAGACTTGGGAATTTGACTTCATAATCAACCAACTAACACCAAGAATTGTGGTTAATACAAAAGCAAGTTAATTAGTTTCAAAACCAGTATAGCTGAGTATTTCATGACTCTACTGCAGCTGGTTGTATATAGAACCAGTTCCTCCAACAAGGATTCATAGTTTAAATGGATTAAAGGAAGCACTTTGTCACCACAACAGGTAGAAAACTGAGGCATGGAGTAACTGGATAAATCACCAAGAAAAGATGTTCAGGTAAAGACCATACAGAATTCCCATATCACTCCCTTTTACCAGCTTCTGTAGTACAGTATTTTCCAGAACAGACTAGAAAAACATAAAAAAAGTTTAATGATGCTTTACAAATATACAGTACTTACATTTTTAGCAGTTACAAAAATGGCACATACTACAGAAACCAAAAGCTTCCTCTAACCTTTGGTACATTTCAAAGTTATTTATTTACAAAGAAAAATTACAGTCACTTTTCAGTGTCACATGTTTACATATAAGCATTTCTCAGTTGAAAAATATCTTGCAGCTTACCCACAGGCAGTTTTTGCAGTTTGAGCTCTGCACCCATCTATCACATAAAAAATTCTATCAGCCCCTGTTAAGCTGACATGACATTGCATTTTTATGTTTTAACAGCCTTTAGTTTGAAAAATATGTACAACCCATAAGGCTAAACTGATTCACAGCTGTTGAGATTTCATCTGATGTATTATATATTGCGCAAGGTTTGGTAAAATGACATAGGCAACCTTTTTTAATTAGCTGGGTAACACAAGTTTAGAGAGAGGTGATCCAATTTTGTCAGCTGGTGTATTCCTAACTCTTCATGAAGGGAATTTAAAAAATGAAAAAGAAAAAAAAAATTTAAACATAATTTGCAGGACACTTTTTCACATTATGAAACTTTTGCATTAAATTTTTCCTTTGCTATGTACAGTTCTTACCTAAGGTAATGAAGACAAACTGAGCACACTTTCCAATTCCTGCTCATTTCCATTAGTTTTCCAATGTTGGGTGTTTTCTAGATTGTATTTTCTTTAAACAAGAACTTAAAAACTTTCTTCTACCTGAGAACAAACGTTTTCTTAGTCTGAATGTACTTGAGAGTCTTAGAAATTAAAATACTTGCAATAGGAGAAATACAGCCGAAAAACATACAGTCTGTTTTTGACATATATTTAGGTGTGTATACAAATGCTTTCGTGCTCTGGTGATTTTCAAACTATTCAATTTCAACACATAACAGTATGTGAACTCAGCACAATCTTCACTGTGCTGAAGGTAGTTTGGGACTACACGTTTACAACTGATAGTTTTTAAACAAGACTAAATACCACCAGAGTATTAGTGCAGGTTAAGATTGTCTTAAATTGAGAAACAAGAAAAGTTTGCTGTCGGTAGCTGTGAACAGGATTTAAAAAGTGTCTTCTAGCATTACAGTATTTCCCTCCCCAAAACTTACTCAATAGACAAACTCCAAATTCAGGCATCTTTAACGTATGCCTGCATTCTGGATTTTCTTCGTGCAAGAGCTTCTTGTTTTTTTCTTTCAATCTCCGCTTGAGAACATTTTCTGGTTTTATTCTCCACCACAGACACTGTAAGTAAAAAACACGTATTAGGAGCCTTCAAAGTTGTTCAATATGTATTTTAACTTATCTGTTTTCAATGTTTGGAAGATCTATGGCAAGAGCACACTATTCTGACATACCAAGCACCCAAGTTAAAAATGACTCATCTATCCTGTCCCCTTCTGTCCCCAAGGCAGGAAGCGGGGATAAGATGCATGACCTTTGTAGTGCTACCTATTACTACCTCCCAATGAAAATACTGGGATGCAGACATTTGCTTCAAGGAAATTTTACTTGGCTGCCCTTCAGGTGAACCTTGTGACATCAGGAGTCAACATAGGAGATGGCAATGGGTTAAGAACATTAAGGCTATCAGAGTGAAAAGGGCTCTACAATTTAGTGAGTTAGGCAGAGATATGAGCATGGAGATGGTATAGACACAGGGGTCAGATACAGTACAGGTGTCACACAAATAAAGCCAGAAAGGTTGAAAAAAGGTCAAAAGTAGCAATAAAAATTGGCAAAGGAGACAGGAACATGATAGCTAGCCATAGTATTTTATATGTTGTGATACAGAACTATAAATTCCCATGCAATAAAATCCTGACCTCGGTGCAACCAACAGGAACACTCCCTGCACATATCAAGAATTTTACTGGTTTTATACACCAATTTCCAATTAATATATTTTTAATAAGTAATCTTTCAAATTGAATAAATAAAAGGTCTGTTTGCTTCTTAAAACAGAGGTGTCCATGAAAAAATATTTATCAGTTTTTGAAAGCATTACTTAACATCCATGTTTTTGTTACAGCAATGTGCTTTCACCAAAAAATTGAAGAACAGTTACTGTTTATCTGTGAAGAAAATCTATACTATTCTTTGTCATTCCTTTATTCTCTAGAACATTCCTGAGAATGACTAGTTATCTCCCCTCCCTTCCCCTTCAGCATTCGAAATTGCTACTTTCCATTTATCTGCTTCTTTGCTGAGGAAGTAACGGAGGTAACATACTGATACTTCAAATAAAGCTGGCTGACATTTTGCAGAAATTCTTTTTTTTTGTTGTTTTTGTAACAGTGCTTCCTGAAAATCGAGGTTGGTAATAGTACACCAAAAAGCACATTTTATCAAAACTAGTATTGCTTAAAAACTTCACCAAGCCATGAGATCAAGTAAAAACAGGACTGACTGGCACTTGGCTGGTTCTGCATTTCCATAGCATGTAACAGCAGTGCACGGAGTATTACAGACTGTTGCCTGATGATGGAAAAGTGACTGACCTCCCCTCTAGGTGAAAGAAAACGTTAGTGTTTAGACTGATAACACAAGAATATTTCACTGGCAGTTTTAGCCACAGAGCAAACAACAATACAGGCTGAGGTTTCAGAACCACTGAATGATTTGAGGTTCCAATTTCTAGCTGTACAATAGTAAAAGGAAATTGGCATCCTGCATCACCTGCTGCCTTCTTCCCCTGTCCCACCATTAACTGGGGTTTTATGAATCATGACTGAGATAAGTAACTTCTAATGTTTTCAAACTGAGCTGTAAAAAAGCATAGATTCACACTACAACATTTAATACATATCAAAATAGTAGTTTTTAAATATCAATTTAAGAATACGGTATGCTGGGTGCTGGCATCAGCATATATTTGATCCTAGTGATTCTGAGTGCCCCTGGAGAAGTGGAATGAAAATGGGAAAAAATCTTTAAATCTAGGAATTCAAGCGATGCAGCAGCACAGTTTTATTTTTGAGAAAATATTCTCCAAATTTTCATTACAACATTTAGTAACACCTAAACTGAATGAGTATTGACACCTATTCTAAGTTGCAATACAGTATAAACTTTTCTAACATTCGGATTACAGTAACAAGCAAACCAGTGTAACAGTGATACAATAAAGACAAATACCTGATGCTGGCAGTGCAAAAGACTCTGAAAGGTGCCTCTTGAAAGGTGACTTCTTATCGTCAAGCTTGCTGTGCAAAGTCACATTCACCTGATTCTTGCTTCCTTCCAAAACCTGCAGAGTAATCCCAATGCCAGAATGACTTCCTGCCTTTTCAGACCCTACATGAAGAGCACCCTGAAAATTATTTGTCTTTCGGAACTTAAACTTTGAAGGCATAAGTGATGTTTTGTTACCAGAACTGTTACTTGGCTTCCTCCCCATATTACACAAAAGATCTGGGCTGTCTAGAGTTTTGCTACCAAAAATATTTACTGCATTAACAGGACTTACTTCAGAACCAGTCTCTCCTGCTGGCACAGAATTTGACCTGTACCATTTTCCTGCAACAGTCTTTGTAGCATCTTCAGAAGCAGCTTCATGACAGTTTTTAGACAGTGTGTATTTACACTCCGTGGAAGTACCTGAGATCACAGTTTGAGGACTTGAGACATTTTTACAGCTCAGTATGTGACCTGTTGTGGCCAGCCCATGTGGAACCTTTGGCAAATTCCTACAGGAACCGCATATTGAGAAAGCATCCTGTTTTGCATTTGTTTTTTGTGCCAAGAGATCAGATAGTCCCTGTTTAGATGCTGGGAAGCTGTTATCAATATTTGATCTGGAATTAATACTGCTTCCTTGTATAGTTTTAGCTCTTTCATTTCCTTGTTTAACATCCTGGCTCTGAGTCTGCTTTTCTATATCATCACACACCTGATACAGCAATTCATCATCCTCACAATTTGCATCCCATAGACTGTTGGATTCACAAAACATATCTAATATTTCATCAGAGAATTTTGGTTCATTCCAGTCATCAAATGATAGAGAACACTTCTTTGGTATTTCAACTTGATTTAAGTGAGCTGCATGAGCTTGGTTAATCACTTTAGTTAGATCCTTAGGTTTCATATTTGTAGAAACACTGGATGATTCACAGAAAATACCATGTGTGTTATTCCCAGGTTTTCCAGACCATTGTCTATGAGGATTCGATCTTGAAGGAAAAACAGGAAGAGAGGCACTTTTAGGCTGGATAGTTTCATTTCCATTCTTCACTTCAGATTGCAATGAAACAGATATATAGTTCAAATCACTATTTTGGGCACTCTTCCAAACAGGATTTATTTTATCTGGTTTAGTGTTACTTTTGCCATGAAAGGATGTGGTCTCTGTCTTTGAGTTTTGTGTCTTATATGGCTTTTGTAAAGGAGATTTTACAGCATTTCTTGTGTTTTTACTAGGATGTTTCAAAGCAGAAAACTGCAAACTGTTAGATTCATGTACACTCCCCAAACAAGGAACTGAATTGCGGCTACTTCTTTCGTTAGTTCTGCTAGCATCACTGAAACCATGCACAGATGGGTTTGTAGGAATTGGTGGTGCTTCTTCAGTACTTATCAATTCAGGATTTTGGGTTATTTGCATCACAAAAGAGTCATCTGCCAAAAAATCTGAATCCCAGTCATCAAAGTCGTCATTAACTGCTCCATCAAGCTTACTGGAAGCCACCAACTCAGGCTTCAAAGGATGTTTTTTGGTCCGTGTGTGAGTATCAAATTTTGGAAAAGTCTGGTTTGCGCTTCCTAGTGTACATAGAGTATTGTTTTTATATACCTCTGAATTACAAGGTTGGGTGTCTTTACGTTGCTCAGGAAGGTGTTCCTCCTCCAAGGTGCTTTTATTTTCATGGAAACTATTATTTAAAGATATACCTGATAGTCCTTGGCTCAACTGTCCACTACACTTCTGGGTAGAGCAGTCAAAAAGAGCATGAAGGGCTACTTCAGCCTCAAGGTCTATAGATTTCTGACTGCTAGATTGACAGGGATCTGCAGCAGGGATACCGGTGCTCTGTCCAACTGGTTTCTGGGAGAGAACGGTATCTGTTTCAGAAACTTCACCAATGAGCGATTTCAGGTTCTTCCTATTTACTTTAGCTTTGGAATGATTTAAAGACTCTGAGGCAGTCTGGATGACGTCATGACCAAGCTTCTTTTGTTCCTGAACAGCATCTAGCTCTATGAGATTTTTATCAAATTCCTTAGCCAATTTCATGAGTTCCTCTTCAGGATTTTTTATTTTAAGATCTCTAGATTAAAAAAAAACAAAACAAAATAAAGTCAGACCTTCTAAAAAGGTTTAGCGAAGCTCAACAGAATGGCTGTATGAGAGAACTGTTCATTCTCTAGCTTTAACAACTACAGAGAAAATGACTGAATCCCACCACTTTCAATGCACAGTTATCGTGCACTCTTTTCTGGTAATTCCCAAGAAATACCCCTTAAGAAGAGATAACAAGCCCAAAGTTAAAAATGTTTTGTATGCTAATGTACAGTTATATGGTTCACTATACATAAAGGCAACCTCATAACCTTTTTTAATGAAGGCCCAGCTGTGATGTGCAAGACAAAACTGTAACTTACCTTGTACAACTTAACTTTGTCCTAGGTCGCACTTTTACTACTCCAGGTGTACAGGGAATAGCATCCTCACCAATCCATGTCCCTAAAAGGGAGTCTTCATTACAGCCTGCTTTTTCATCCTGAATGATTAGATTTGTAAAGTTTAGCTATTTGATTTCAGATGAAGATTGGACTTGACATACACCCTGCATTAAAGTTGCTATGTCAATTACACTGGATCAAATCTGTTGAAAGCCACAGATAACAGCTAAACCAATGGAAGTTCAGTGAGATTACTACAATATTGTCTACTGATAATTAGATCACTTTAGTTATATGGATTTAAGACAGGAACTTCAAATAAAATAACTGAATTCTACTTTAGTGCTCAAACCTAATACTCTACTTCAGGTTTACACATAATCCGCATATTCACATTACAAGCTGTGATTTAGTTTACTTTAGTGTACTCCTAAGAAACTGGTTCAGATACATGGTCTTTAGCCACATAAAACAGCATTAACAGATCAGAGAATTTGAAAGAAATCATATTCTGTATGCTTCCAGGAAAAAAATCTGACTTCTTCCATTACAACTCATTTATACAAGGAACCTTTAGACAAGAATAAATGAAGTTTAGAAATTAAGTGGAGTTGTTCCAGAGCTTCAAAGTTGAGCCTTGGATTTGAACTCTGAAACTTAAGAGATACAGTACTGCAGTGGTAAACTGTCTAGAGGGCCAGAGCCATGGGATGTAGGAAGTTACTGCATGTAAGCAGGCAAAAGTAATTCGAACTTTACTAGCAACCAGGGTAGTTTATGTAGGTTTTCTTTTTCCTTAGATTTTTTAAATTATTAAGAAAAAAGAACATAAGCAACAGATACTCAAAAATCCTGGTGTTATTTACATCTATGACAGTGCTGTAATTATGTAAAAGGAAGGAAGTAGCATCCCTTACCAGTGATTTTCTAATTCTTACGTATAATTTCTCACAAATATGATAATGAATACATTTTAAATTGCCCTGTCAAATAGGCATATTCTGCAAGCTAAATAACTGTTTTAGGAATGACATGTTATCTTCTTGCACTTAATGAAAAGCAAAGAATAACCCAGTACTTTTATTTTCACTTTGCAGGCTGTGGACATCAGGTTCACAGCAAAAGGGGGACACCAAGAACATAGATACAGGGTAAAAAATCAAATTATGTAGAATAACAAAGCAATGTTACTATGTTTATATTATTGTGAAGTCTCTGAGCTCAGTCTTGTTCTTTTACTTCAGCATTTAAGACCATTCAAAATGCTTAAAAACAACGGCTAAGTAAGCCTGGTATGTGAAGAAACTCTTTACCTTTTAACTGAAGAGTGATTAAGGATAAACAAACACAATACTGTAACTAAACTTGAGCCTTCACTAAGGCTGTAGCACTAATCTATCTGATGACTGCACATGCATTGTTTTAGTAGGAATTACCTGAGGAGCGATGCGATTAACAATGTCTGAGATTTCTACTGCGCATCTACTGGTCGACTGTTTGGTTTTTCCAGTGCCTATGAAAACAAACAAAAAAACTTCTTTAAAACTGCAAAATAATTCAATTTATAAAGTGGAGTGTATGTCAGATAATTCAAATATATGTTAACATCAGAGCTTACCACTACATTGAAAAAATTATGGGTTATTTATGGATTTTTAACAAAACCAAACAACCTACCCATGATGTTGTAGGGAAAAAGGGACCTTTTTTCAAGAAATTTGGTAACTTCTAGTGAACTCCCGCTGCACGCCTCAAATAGGCATGCTGAAATCTGGATTTTATTAATATTACCTAGTCTGTGTGCAATTGGTGAATGAGGATCCCAAAAGATTTCTTGCTGAACATCCGTTTCATTAACAGGAGAGCTGAAAGTAGGTATTCGGGATTTCCTACTCAACGATCTCATTGGTGTTTTATGCAAACATGACTCTGTGTGAACAGGGAGATGATTCTCATTAAAAACAACAAATAAAAGGCCAAAATAACTTAAAACATAAAACAGGAGAAGGCATGAGATGCTTTAGGAACTTTAAGTTAGGAAAATAAAGTTGACACTCATTAACATTACTTACAATAGGAATACTGTTCACAACTATACATTTGAGTATGACTCTTATCTGTCAGTTACACCACCAGAAGTAACAGGGCATTACAGCTCTGACAGCTATACACTGAACACCTGATATAAGGATGACAACTGTCAATTCTGCTACTTGAGAAGATATTGATTTCAGCTTATGTGGAGAGATAAACTATGTATATATATATATGGGAGAATCTTTTGTATTCTTGCTCACTCTGTGTCTTTAACCCAGATTCTGATTTGGGTCACAACTTTAACGGGCCCCCAAACTGTTCTGGGTCACAACCTACCTTTGTCTATACTTCCCCCACTGGGCCAGTCAGCTAGGACTGTTAAAAGCAGTCATATAGCTATTCTAAGACAGCTTGTGGCTGCCTCACATCACTAAGTGAACTGAACACACTGTCTGAAGCTCAGCTTGTCACCCCTGCCCTGTAGAAATGACGTTGCAAATGCGAAAGCTTATAGAAATAATTTTAAAAGATGCTATTGCTACGTGAAAAGCATCTTAGGAGACGCTTTGCACTTCAGCACTTGGCGCAGCCAGGCTTTATCCTCTCCTCGAGTGGATTAGCGTCCTCAGTCAGCCCTAAGTATCTGCCGCGGGAAGATGCTCTTCATCACAGCTTGACAAGAGCCCCTTCCCAAGGCACGCAGGCGGGGGAGGGCGGGGGGTTCCCCGCACTGGCCCCCTCCTCACGGCCAGGGCCCGCCTCCCCCGCGTCTCCTGGGGTGGCGGCCGGGACAGGGCCCCGGGGCCGCTCCCGCCGTACCTGCAGCGCCGCGCACCGCCGCCTCCCGCGACGGCGACGGCTGGGGCGCGCACGGCGCCTCACCCGCGGGCAGGCTCGGGCCCGCACAGCCTTCCGCGCCGCTGGCCGCAGCCGCGTCCTCTGCGGAGGGCTCCGCCGGCCGCCGCCGGGTGACCTGCTCCTCGCCCCCGCCACTCCGCCTCCTTAGGGCGGCGGGCTTGAGGCAGGACCCCTTCCGCCGGCTACCGGGCATGGCACGAGTTACGACAGTGCAGCCACGTCCACCCCACCAACGCCGCCATTTTGCCGGGGAGCCCGCCGCGCCACCGCCGATTGGCCTCCGCCTCGCCGCTTCGCGCCACCATTGGCTCTCGCGCAGCGGGGGCGGGTCTTCAGACGCGGCAGGGAACTGCGGCTGGCTGGGAGCTAGCGCGGCGCGCGCCGTGCGCGCTTGGCTCCGCCCCGCCCCCTTTTGCCATGCGGTGATTTGGCTCGCTCCCGCCGTCCTTCACTCGCCCGCCCCGGCCCTTTGAGGGCGGCTGTTATTACGAGGGTCGCCCCTGGGGTTAAGCGTTCAGAACCCGGCGTACATTAGTTCAGTGCAAACAGCTCTAAGTATGCCGCCGCCTGAGGGGCTGGATATGATTTCTGATGAGCCCCGGCCGACCAGGAGATGGCTTCGTGTCCTTGAAGTGCCTCGTGTACCTTCAGGGTACCTCGTTTCTGAGGCCATCTCACGTTCTCGATTCGTTGGTGGCTCCTACCCCGGACTGGCCACCGCCATCCTGCCGTGTGGGGTCTCTGCTGAGGTCCTCGGGGCCCAGAGGGGAGGTGTGTGGTGAGTGTCCTGAAAGAGAAAATAAACCCAGACAGGCATAAACCATTTCAGCCTGTTATGGGAGTTGGGGCTGGCAAAGAGAGGCTTACAGAAGCCAAAGCTGGTAGGTAAGAAATTAACGTGAGGTTCCTGAGGGACTGTGATATTACATCATTATTTAAAATAATATAAATGCAAGCACATGTATGTATTACATCATAAGGTGGATATTTCCTCCCTGAGCCACTAAACGTAAATGTATAAATGTGTCTACCAAGCATATAAGGTCAAGGAGTGACTTACTTGCAGAGGTTGAGTGAACTTCTTGTATATTGGTTGCCTGCCTGGTTTTCATTTAATTGATTTGAAGTACTTTGGGATCACACTTCATTTATAGGATGTGAGCAGTGGATTTCATTCTGGGTTCGGGAGTATGAGAAGTTTTAAAGTCACCAAAGAGTGATTCTCTGAGCCATGAAACTTTTCCTTTTGACCCAAGGCCTCAGGCAAACAGTATGGTTTTTTTTCACTTTCTCATTCTCATGAGCGTAATTAAAGTCAATAGAAGACTTTTTAACAAGGAAAAAAAAAATACGTACTATGTATTAAACAGGGAAACTGTTACATACACAGAGAATCACAGTTAATCAAAGTTGTGATATTTGAATAATCAACTTGTTTATGTCATACCTATCAAATATAAATTGAAAAAAAAGACTGAAAAAATGGATCAAGAGTCAGGTTCCAAAATCCATCATAGAAGTCTGAACACAGCTGCTGCCTTGTAAGCATATGAACATGGGTAGATCCGTGCACAGTGCAAAGTGTGGAGGTATGCATACAGTTTTGAACACTGATTTGCAGTATAGTAATTAAAACTCTTAATACATCACACAGCTACAGAAATGGCGTAACTGGACTCTTTACACCATAGACACAATGTAGATAACTTGCTCATTGTTTCCAGTTAAAATAGATGCTGAGAAGAAACTTTACAGTGGTGGTAGCTAAATTTGAGGGCTAACACAATCTGAGGGATAGCAATGTATTGAAATCAACACACTTTCCAGAAAGTGCTACTAAAATCTTGATGTGTCTTACCACTTCCTAGTGACCTCTTAGCAGCTGGGTACTGTAAAGTGGTCTGCTTTTATATTCCTTTATGTTAACAAGAATTGTCTGAAATCGTGGTCATTGATAATTAAAATTAAGTGACCTTTGCCATATTAACTCAGTGCTATGAGTTTTGCAGTGCTATCTTTGATTTCTTCCTTTCTCTGAGCTCACTGTTCGCTAACCTCATTCATAAAATGTATTTGCCACAGGTCTTTCATACATTGGAGAGGTTTTACTCATACAGTTAAAAGTGTTTTGTTCTGTTTGTTTTTGTTTGTTTGTTTCTTGTTTTGGTTTGGGTTTTTGTTTGTTTGTTTGTTTTAGGGAGAAAGCGTGTTTTATGTGTATCTAGCTGTGGGTGAGAGATTTTGTTACATCTATTTAAGCCTAGGCAAGGTTTCATCACCAAAAGTTCACAAAAGAAAATAACCTGTTCATACAGAAAAGCTGAACAGGTTCATGATGGAAAAATAAAACAAGCCAACACCACTTCCTTGATGAATAAAAGTGTGTGTATCTCATTGCAGCTTAAGAACTTAGGTCTGAGCTGATGCTGTTTATTAAGTTAAGAAATGTAGTGGTAGAAGTCTGTGATGTTGAAGGGTTTCTCTGTGGATCTGTAGCCTCAGGGAGGAGGGAGTTTGTGTTCCCTTGTCATGGTACAAGCAGCTGGATCAATGGCTAATTGTGGTGAGGCTGCGTTCCAGAGACTTGCAGCAAACTCCTGGTGCTGCAGTTGTGAGTCCTACTTTCAAATCAAGAGGGATAAATAATGGAGGAGCTTGAATGAATAATAAAGTTAGTTCAGTTTTTAATAGCACTGTAAACTGCCTGAGAACTTTACACTGTGTTTTATGAGATGAGGATCTAAAATGAAATTAAAGAAATGTGGAAGATCTGAGAAGTTTCCTGAGAATTTCCTGTAAGTGTAATAAGAGCACTGAAAAAAAGAGTGGGAAAAGGCTTCTTTTTAAAGTCCTTTGAATACCGAATTTTAGAGTGGTTTTATCTTGGAAAGAGGGTGTATCATTAGTGAGAGGTACTTATTTTCAAAGTATCTAACATTGCATCAATGCAGCTAACAAGGAAAAGTGACTTTATGTTACAGTTCATCTTTCATTTTTGTTGGGGCTCGAAAAAATGTAAATCAATAATAGTGATTTAAATGAAAATACCAAGATTTGTGAGATGATAGAGGTTATTATAAATAATGAAATTATTTTGACAAATACTGCCTTTTTCCAGAACGTTTTAAAATGCTTCCTGATATTTTTAAAACGAGGTATCACGGGCTTTTTTGTTCCCAAGCTGCATTTTCATTTCAAATTGATTACTTTTAAAGGACTGAAAGAGAAGTAAAGAAAACATACACATACACTCATAATTTGTCTCCAGTGGAAATGTGTGCATGCATTTTGATCACCTGAGGCCAGGTGAAAAGACAAATCCTTCAAGCCATATGTTCCTTGGATAATTTGTTTTTTAAAATGGTGTGGGTATAAACTCTAAAACTCAGTATAATTATATAGTACTTTAAGCATAAATATGTTTTCTCCTAGGGAAGGAAAGTTAAATAAAGAGTGTATGGAGCTGAGTAGCCACTTGTAGTACATATCTAAGGTAATGTGGTAAACAGGTCACAGTCTCTGCTTGTGCAGTTAGACTTCCGGCAAGGCAAGTATCAAGAAAAGTTTTCTAAATATGTGAGGACCTGTCTACTTCTTTGGTTGTGTACAAATAGCAAAACACAAAAGCAAATGTTAACAAATGCAAAATATATCTAAGGTTGTGCACTGCTGTGTTCAGTCTTCAGTTCTGTAAAAGTCTTCAGGTAATTTCAGTGGTCCCAAGAACAAGAGTATGTGGCTGTGCTTCCTTGCATAGTGCAGACTTTCCTCAGCCTTGTCATGTGTTTCTGCAGAGTGTGGCTCAGCAATGCTCAGAGGTGTACAGAGGGACAGGAGTGGTAACTTAGATGACGATACCTCCTACCTGCGTTTACCATTCAGAGCTGGCTTGGATATTTCCCTGCAGGACTGCCTCATACCATGTAGGCATACCCTGGTATGCCTGGCTTCATATCTGTCAAAAGGAGGTAATAGTACTCACTGCAGCATGGGTTGTCCTGGGGATAATTGTGAAGCCATTGGATACCACAGTGAGGGGAACTATATAAACAGGAATAAATTCAGATGCTTAATGTAAGATGCATTTATAAATACAACCTTGTGGACCCAAGCAAAAATAAACTAAGACACCAGTATAAAACTCAGCTATGAAAGTAGAATATTCTAGCCACAAATTTTTACCTTTTTTCCTCTCAGAAATCTTACTCATCCATATATTCTCTTAAGAAGCCTTGGAGTGTTTACTAAAATGGAGCACTACAATGACAGCAGATATACAAGTTAACAACAAGAGATGAGTATTTTGTTGCCTTCCTTGGAGCCTTAGGAAAAAATGAGAGGGTATCTGAAATGTTAACTTGACAATAGTTTTTTCCATCCATAGGGGAACACAGGCATCATGTGTGTATTTTTGCTTTTATTAATAGCATTTTGATAGCACAGTTATAAAGCTTGTCCTTCGCTTGCCTTGAAATATCATACCGACTTCACTTATTACAGAATGTTACTTTAATTTTCCAAGGTGAAATGTTCACAGAGCACAGACTGGTGAGGAAAATATGGCCAAAACAGTCACATCTACCTTTATTTTTAAAGTGCTGTCCAGAAGGGCTTGCAGCAATTTTTGCTGATGCATAAATTGACCTAGACAGTAAATGATACATGACCTTAAAAATATCTGAAGTAGCCTTGCTTGAGAATTTTTAGTAGAGAGTTATTAAATGTCAGAGTAATTTATACAAGCATAGCCTAGTTTATGCTTTAGCATTCTCTTTCCCTCTTTCTCTCCACCATGCCATCTGAGAAACACAGATGCTTTAAAAATATTTTACATATATCTCTTTTTTTTTTTCTCATCATAGAGTTTGATCTTATTTTATCACACTCAGAAAATCTAATCAAATGTGGGACTGTAGTGTAGCTCACAAAGGCCTGATCCAGCAGAGCAGTTAAGTACCTGCATAACTTCATCGTGATGACATTTTCCATTGCTCATTAACTGGCATTTAAAGGAAATTTTCCATTGCTTGGTGTCTGGGCATTTAGAGGAAATTGTCAGCCAAAATGGGTGAGCCATTTAGAAGAATTAGGTCAGGCAACGAACAGCCTACAAGTCACAGAGGTCTGTAGGGAGCCCTGGAGGTTCAGGCCCCTTACAGAAGGCTGGAGATCGCCATTGAGAGGGCTTTCTATTAGGTATTTATTATAATGCAGGCTTAATTCCACAGCTGTTCTCCAGTGCTCAGGGTGAACTGTATTGAGGAGATGAGTAATGGTTGTTCAAGGCTGTGGAG